GTTCTGTATGGCAAGATTGGTTCAATTCAATCATTGGTGGAGTTTAGAATGCTCTTTGATTGTAGGTTAACTATAAATCCCAGCAACTACAACTCCAAAATGGCAAAATCAATCCCCCACCAACCCCACCAGTATTCAAATTGGTCCAGTATTGGGTATTTGTGCCAAATTTGGTCCAATGAATGAAAATACATCCTGTTTATCAGATATTTACATTACAATTCATAACCGTAGCAAAACTGCCGTTATGAAGTAGCAACGAAAATAATGTTATGATTGGGGGTCACCACAACATGAGGAACTGTATTAAGGGATTACGAAGGTTGAGAAACACTGTCCTACATGAACATACTTCTGTCAAATAAAATGAAACTAAATTTGGACAACATGAAAGTGGTGGCAAGGGAAATCCCAATATTCATGAAGGCATAAGAACCATAGGCAATGGCACAAAGCCCAAGAATGCTTTTTGAAAAATGCATTTGAATCTAATTTTTTTTTTCAGGCTAAGGAATCCTGTCACATTTATCCATGCTTGTGTAATCTGCAGGATTGGCTTTACAAGAGGATGTGCCAAATGAGGACTCAGAAAGTGTTGTATGGAAAGTCACAAATTGTTTCCAATTTTTGGAGTGCATCCCGGCAGTTTTTATTGCCCACTCCTGTCTCGCTAATGCAAATATTTCCATCTTCTCTTTGTAATCCTCTTATATTTGCCTGCCATTTCTTTTTCACAAAAAAAAAATCCATTAACAGGGAAAGAGGAGGCAGAACAGCTTTCCATTTGGAAGCAACTTGCTGCCTTCTGGTAAGAGTTTTTCTTTTAAAATGATAGTTTTTTAAAAGGTAAATAAATTAAAAACATGTATTCAGCTCAGTTCTACTCATCTGTAAATCTTCCTGTCAAATCAGTTGGTTTTCACTAGCTAAGATCATATACCAAGCCTAAATGAGTTTCTACATAGAGCTGTAGTGCCTGCTGTATTGACTTTAGTTTAGTGTATCTACAACTGTAGAATTAATGTTGTGGTTCAATGTTATGGAATCCTGGGAGCTGTAATTTTGCAAGGTCTGTAGCCTTCTTTGCCAAAGAGGGTTGGCTTAAAAATTTCACAGCAAACCTAATTTTTTGTGAATATCTCTGCAGTAGTTTTTTCTAAATAACACCACACTCTTAAAAGCTAACACATTCAAGGAAGGTCAAAGTGTAGCAAAGTAATGAAAGCTAGAACAACAGACTGGTTCAAGATTGGGAAATGCATACAGCAGGGTTGTATACTCTCCCCCAATCTATTCAACTTGTATGCAGAACACATCATACGATGTGCAGGGCTTGAATGCGAGGCTGGGGTGAAATTGCTGGAAGAAACATTAACAACCTTAGATATGCAGATGACACCATTTTGGTGGCCGAAAGCGAGGAGGAGCTGAGGAGCCTTCTAATCAAGGTGAAAGAAAAAAGTGCAAAAGCTGGGTTGCAGCTAAACATAAAAAAAAAACAAGATTATGGCAACAAGAATGATTGACAACTGGAAAATAGAGGGAGAAAACGTGGAAGCAGTGACAGACTTTGTATTTCTAGGCGCAAAGATTACTGCAGATGAAGACTGTGGCCAGGAAATCAGGAGACGCTTACTTCTTGGGAGGAGAGCAATGACCAATCTCGATAAAATAGTAAAGAGTAGAGACATCACACTGGCAACAAAGATCCGCATAGTTAAAGCAATGGTATTCCCCATAGTCACCTATAGATGTGAGAGCTGGACCATAGGGAAGGCAGAGCGAAAGAAGATAGATGCTTTTGAACTGTGGTGTTGGAGGAAAGTTCTGAGAGTGCCTTGGATCGCGAGAAGATCCAACCAGTCCATACTTCAGGAAATAAAGTCCGACTGCTCATTGGAGGGAAGGATAGTAGAGGCCAAGATGAAGTACTTTGGCCACATCATGAGAAGAAAGGAAAGCTTAGAGAAGACACTTATGCTGGGGAAAATGGAAGGAAAAAGGAAAAGGGGCCGACCAAGAGCAAGAGGGATGGATGGGATCCTTGAAGTGACTAGATTGACCTTGAAGGAGCTGGGGGTGGTGATGGCTGACAGGGAGCTTTGCCATGGGCTGGTCCATGAGGTCACGATGAGTCGAAAACAACTGAATGAATGAACAATAACATCAATGAAAGCTTTTTTTTTTTTTTTTTGCAGTAAATGCTATGAGAGCTAAAAAACAGAACTGGCCAATGTTGTTTAAAATATTACAAGGAAGACTTGGGGAATGCAGGTGATCTCTACCAGCACCCCGTCCCCCCTACTTTTGGACATTTTCAATAAATTTGGCATTACATAATGGTATACTTTTTTTTACAACTAGACTGTGAGAAAATCATATAAATCCCACTCGTCTCCCGGTATATAATGTTTGGGTTTATTCGAGTGGAAAGCATTTCATAAGCCGATTTTTCCTCCCTTCATTAGACACCTTCTTCCCTTTCAAAAGAAGAACATGCCCAAGCTGCTCTTTCAAAGACATATTTTGGTAGGCAGGAGGAACAAACAGTTCCAAAGGGGAAATATTGTGATGTTCATTGTGATGTTCATTTCTGAGCATGAAAAATACAAGCACCAATGATTTACAATAAACATTGTGACTCAGAGTAATTTCTCTCTCCTGTTGCTTTCCTTTCCACTTGTTTTCCTACCGCCGCCTTCTATTTTGATGCACAGCTCAAACAGCGATGTGGATGTGTACCTCTGCTGTGCTAGTCCACCCAATCCCTTTATAGGCAGCTTGTATATGTCACTGGGAATTCCAGCTAATTCTATTCACCAGGATAAGGCCAATACAAGAAAGGCAGAACACTCAATAGGAGAAAAGCTGGGTTAATACCTTGTCTGCTTAACATTTTTTCACTTACTGGCTCTGCCAAAATGCTCCTCTGTTCATGGTTTTGGTAAAGCAAAACAGAAAGAAAAGAAAGAGAAAAACAACTAATTCCAAATATGGTTATATTATCAGATGTCATCTGCAATCTTAACCTATTTATAGAAGCATATGCACTCTCTTCAGATAAGCTTGGAACTAGCAGATAACAGATATTGTACCACACACTGTACTATACATCAGCAGGTACTTAAGAATGCACATCTATCTATATCAGTGATTCCCAACCTTCCTAATGCAGCGGCCCGTTAATACAGTACCCCATGTTGTGGTGACCCCCAACCATAACATTATTTTCGTTGCTACTTTATAACTGTTATTTTGCTACTGTTATAAATCATAATGTAAATATCTGAAATGCAGGGTGTATTTTCATTCACTGAACCAAATTTGGCACAAATACCCGATACATCTGGGTATCGTTGGGGTGGGGATTGATTTTGTCATTTGGGAGTTGTAGTTGCTGGGATTTATAGTTAACCTACAATCAAAGAGCATTCTGAACTCCACCAATGATGGAATTGAACTAATCTTGGCACAAAGAACTTCCATGACCAACAGAAAATACAGTGTTTTCTGATGGTCTTTGATAACAGCCCCTCATAATCCTTCCAGGGGTCCCAACCCCCAGGTTGAGAAACACTGATCTATATATCTTTTATATCTATATATCTATATCTATACTATAAAAGTGAAAATATCTATTGATGGATAGATGTGTGATGCAGGAAGACTCCTACAAAGCTTGATGTATCTGGACCAAGCTTGGTACATATCCCCTTCATGATCCACTTAAAATAATTGTTGCCGGGGGGGGGGGGGAGAGAGAGGGAAAGAGGATGATAGGAGTTGCAGTCTAGTCCCATTACCCAGCTATTCATTTTCTAACAAGGCCATTCATCAATTGAAAAAACAAAGACTATATATGTGTTGTCGAAGGCTTTCATGGCCAGAATCACAGGGTTGCTGTGAGTTTTCTGGGCTGTACGGCCATGTTCCATATAGCCTGGAAAACTCACAGCAACCCAAACGTAATAATACATAAATAATACATATTCCTGATAAACAGCATTACAAATACCTGACTTCAGCACAGCTGGGTATATATGCTAATCCTAAATAAATAAGCAAGATAATGCATTACAAGTTAGTTACTTCTGAATAATATGGATGATAGTTACTTCTGAATGATAGGATTTTTCCCCTATACACTTATGAAATGAGTATATTAAGATGTTTGAGAGGCTGTGCATACAGCCTTGGAAGGAACTGGACATTGTGGATTTTTTGTCCAAACATACAAGTGTCTTGTCGAAGGCTTTCATGGTTGGAATCACTGGGTTGTTGTAGTTTTTTCAGGCTATATGGCCATGTTCAAGAAGCATTCTCTCCTGACGTTTTGCCTGCATCAATGGCAAGCATCCTCAGAGGTTGTGAGGACCTCACAACCTCTGACGATGCTTGCCATAGATGCAGGCGAAACGTCAGGAAAAAATGCTTCTATAACATGGCCATATAGCCCAAAAAACCTACAACAATACAAGTGTCTATATATGGTCAAAATATACAAGTGTCTATATATGCTATATATGATCAAAATATACCAAGCAGCAATAAATAATTGCTCAAGTAGAATGGAAAGGCTGGGATTGAAATAATACAGCTCTACTGCCTAAGAGGAAGGCTATGTAACAGGTTGTTTTCCTCTGGAGATGCCAAGAGATTTGGGTCCAAGTGTTCTGTAGGAAAGAACAGGAAAGGAAGAAATAGAAAGGCACAGCCTTTGAAAAATATATTATAATAAAAATATGTTATAATAAAAATATGTTATAATAAAATATTATTATAATAAATAAAAAATATAATAAAATATATTATAATAAAAATATTCATGAAAGCATAAGACTTTTTTTGAAAACACTGCTGAAAACTCTAAAATAACAATACCAATGTCATCCGTTGTCATGAAAACATGGCTGTCTCTTGAATACAAAATCTTTTTTACAAAAGATCATTCTGCTTCATTCATTTGTAAGTCAGATTCTGAAAATAAGAGAAAGAATTACCTTTTTAAGGAATGCCATTCTTGGCCTGTAACGCTGCCCTTGATCTCCACGTTGGATGGTCATGGTGCCCTGGCTTCAAATCACAAAATATGATGATTTTAAAAAGGAAAAATAGACTTAAGCAATGGCAGAAAAGAAGGTGAGCTGCTGTTGGTGATTTCCTGAGAACTGCCTTACTCTCCAACTCCTCGGAATAAAGGCAAGCGGTGGAATTGAGCACCGGTGCATCGCAGCCAATCAGGAAGCGAGGCTGGGGTCTTATTTGCATGAGCTAGGGGTGTCTTTCCCACCTGCCAACACTAGGGGGAGCTCGTTCACCTAGGTAATCAACAAAACATTGGGGAAGAATTCCTTCTCTTTTTTCCTTTTGAGTGATGAGCTCAAGGATTAGAAACTGTTAACAGGTTTCCTGCTAGCAATTAAAACAAAAACAAACCATTGCTCATTCTGTCTTTGTTAGTATATTCATGATGTGCTGAAACAGATGGCCCCAGCCAAAGGAGGGTTTTTGAGCTACATACGCTATCTATGTGTATTATACACACATATATAAACACACACCGAGAGAGAGACATATATACATCTATACATAGTAGGTTTATTTTTATTCCAACCTGGATCACTAAGGACCCACACCTAAAAGAGCAGTCAATAAATATAAGCAAAAATGCAACCAATTCTTTATAGAATCACTAGCTGTCCCCTGCCAAGCGTTGCTATGGCCCGCATGGGATTCTGTGTGGGAGGTTTGGCCCACCAATTCTATTGTTGGTGGGGTTCAGAATGCTCTGTGATTGTAGGTGAACTATAAATACCAGCAACTACAACTCCCAAATGTCAAGATTCTATTTCCCGCAAACTCCACCAGTGTTCATATTTGAACATGTGGAATATTTGTGCCAAGTTTGGTCCAGATCCATCATTGTTTGAGTCCACAGTGATCTCTGGATGTAGGTGAACTACAACTCCAAAACCAAAGGACACTGCCCACCAAACCCTTCCAGTATTTTCTGTTGGCCATGGGAGACCTGTGTGCCAAGTTTGGTTCAATTCCATCGTTAGTGGGGTTCAGAATGCTCTTTGATTGTAGGTGAACTATAAATCCCAGCAACTACAACTCCCAAATGTCAAGATTCTATTTTCCCCAAACTCCACCAGTGTTCACATTTGGGCATATTGAGTATTTGTGTAGAGTTTGGTCCAGATCCATCATTGTTTGAGTCCACAGTGATCTCTGGATGTAGGTGAACTACAACTTCAAAACCAAAGGACACTGCCCACCAAACCTTTCCAGTATTTTCTGTTGGTCATGGGAGAACTGTGTGCCAAGTTTGGTTCAATTCCATCATTGGTGGGGTTCAGAATGCTCTTTGATTGTAGGTGAACTATAAATCCCAGCAACTACAACTCCCAAATGACAAAATTTTTTTGAGTGAAGGACATACATTGGGTTGTTAGGTGTCTTGTGTCCAAATTTGGTGTCAATTCGTTTTTTGAGTTATGTTAATCCAAAAATCAAACATTACATTTTTATTTATATAGAATCATAGAGTTGGAAGAGACCTCATGGGCCATCCAGTCCAACCCCCTGCCAAGAAGCAGGAAAACTGCATTCAAAGCACCCCTGACAGATGGCCATCCAGCCTCTGTTTAAAAGCCTCCAAAGAAGGAGCCTCCACCACACTCCGGGGCAGAGAGTTCCACTGCTGAACAGCTCTCACAGTCAGGAAGTTCTTCCTCATGTTCAGATGGAATCTCTTTCTTATAGTTTGAAGCCATTGTTCCGCGTCCTAGTCTCCAGGGCAGCAGAAAACAAATTTGCTCCCTCACCCCTAAGACTTCTTCTCACGTATTTATATATGGTTATCATGTCTCCTCTCAGCCTTCTCTTCTTCAGGCTAAACATGCCCAGCTCTTTAAGCCGCTCTTCATAGGGCTTGTTCTCCAGACTCTTGATCATTTTAGTCGCCCTCCTTTGGGCACACTCCAGCTTGTCAATATCTCTCTTCAATTGTGGTGCCCAGAATTGGACACAATATTCCTGGTGTGGTCTGACCAAGGCAGAATAATCATCACAGATTATTGTCTGTAGGCTTACTGACAGACGCTCAGACCTGAGCATTGCTGCCGGTCCACCTCCGAGCACAATTCAAAGTGCTGGTCTTAGCCTATAAAACCCTATATGGCTCCGGCCCAGCTTACTTATCTGAACGTATCTCTCTCTACACTCCACCTCGTAATTTAAGATCTACTGGGGAGGCCCTGCTCTCGGTCCCACCAGCGTCTTAAACGCATCTGGTGGAGACGAGGGACAGGGCCTTCTCGGTGGTGACCCCCCACTTGTGGAATTCGCTCCCCAGCGAGATTAGATCGGCATCCTCCCTCCTTACTTTTAGAAAAAAAACTAAAGATGTGGTTTTGGAGCCAGGCCTTTGGCTAGTGGGTACAGCAGCACTTTAGGCACTGAACTCAGACAATAGGATTGTTATGAAAATTGGAAACGGCTATATGATTATGTGATTTGTTCTATGTGATTATGTAATTTTAATTAATATCACTGTTTAATTGTTATGTAATAGGATTTTATATTGTTGGTTTATATTGTTATTGATACTGTTGGCATTGAATTGTTGCCTGTGTTAGCCGCCCTGAGTCCCCCCTTGGGGGTGAGAAGGGCGGGGTAGAAATGGTGCAAATAAATAAATAAATAAATAAATAAAGGGAATTCCCATTAGATGCCATTTGCTGAAAATGACCTAGACCTGGCACTAAATTGGACTGAGGAAGCTGCCTCAGGTGGCAGGTAACATTTATTATTTATTTATTTATTATTTACAGTATTTATATTCCACCCTTTTCACCCCACAGGGGACTCAGGGCAGATTACAATGCACATATAGATGGCAAACATCAAATGCCAATTAGACACACAACATATATAGACAGACATAGAGGCAATTTAATATTCCAGCTTTCCAGTTTCATGAGGGTATGCTCGATTCCGGCTCGATTCCAGCCACAGTGGAAACTGCCACTTCACCATCCATTGGTGACACCGAATCCTTTGATGGAATACTTCCTCATTGTTCTGCACATCACTGGAAGGTTTTATGGCATCGTAAATTAGTTAAATTATCCTCCCCGCATAAAGCGGTACCTAAATATCTTACTTGACAGATACAAGTGTCTTTCGGGCTGCAAAGGTCGACAGCAAGCTAGACTAATGGCTGGAAGCTCATTCTGACCCAGGCTGGCTTTGAACTCATGACCTCTCAGTCAGTAGTGATTTAATGCAGCTAGCTATCAGCTAGTTATGCCAGAGCGCAATCTAATAGTAGGTGGCAGTATTAGTCGTTTCCAACCCCACCCCACCCACCCCCCAGCTATGTTCCCTAAGGGTGCATCTACACTGTAGAATTAATGCATTTTGAAACAACTGTAACTGCCACGGCTCAATGCTAAAGAATCCTGGGAGTTGTGGGTTCGTGAGGCCCAAGACGCGATTGGCAGACAAAGCTAAAGACCTTGTAAAACTACAACTCCTATAGCAACTCCCATAGCATGGCACTTCAAGTGGTATCAACCTGCATTAAATCTCCAACACAGGTCCCTTCCACATAACTGAATAAAATCCCACGCTATCTGCTTTGAACTAGGATATATGTATTATATTATATTATATTATATTACATGTAATATAATATATATTATATTATATTATATTATATTATATTACAGGTAATATTACTAATAATATTACAATATAATGGTATAGTACAATATAGTAATATATAACATTACTATTGTACTATGCTAATAATATAATATATTGTGTGTAGATATATCTTGTAAGCCGCTCTGAGTCCCCTTCGGGATGAGAAGGGCAGCATATAAATGCTATACATAAATAAATAAATGGCAGAGTGGACTCAGATAACCCAGTTCAATGCAGATATTAGGCCCTTCTACACAGCCTTATATCCCAGAATATCAAGGCAGAAAATCCCACATTATCTGAATGTGGAGTCAGATATTGTGGGATTTTCTGTCTTGATCTTCTGGGTTATAGGGCTGAGTCCATGCTGCCACATATTCCAGTTCAAATCAGATAATGTGGGATTTTATTCAGCTTTGTGGAAAGGGCCTGGGACAGCTTTGTTGCTAATGTGGGCCCTTGGTATCCATTAGGATTTGGTTCCAGCTCCACCAAAATCCATGTATGCTCAAGTCCCATTACGCTATGTAATATTATTTTTGTTCCTCGGTTATGTACGTCATTTCTTAATTGGTTTTTTCACAAAAACATGGAAAAAGTTTATTAAACTGCAAGAACTTTTTTCAGGACAACACTCCAACGACAATCACCCCCAAACCCTGTCTGTATGCACAGTTGGCCATGTTGGTTCTGTGTGCCAAGTTTGGTTCAGATCTGTTGTCAGTTTGGTCCCAAGGCAATCTTCCCAAAACCCAGCTAGTATTCACAGTTGGTCATGTTGAGTCTGTGTGTTAAGTTTGGTCCAGAGCCATCATTGGCTGGGTTCAGTGCTCTCTGGATAAGGAAGAACTACAACTCCCAGATTCCCAGGGCAATCACCCTGAAAGTGTGCCAGTATTCACAGTTGGCCATATTGAGTCTGTGTAACTAGGTTATCTGAGTCCATACTGCCATATATTCCAGATCAAAGCAGATAATGTGGGATTTTCTGCCTTGATATTCTGGGATATAGGGCTGTCTGGAAGGGCCCAAAGCCATATAACCTATACTTTTAAGGCAAAAAATCCCACAATATCTGCTTTGAACTAGGTTATCTTAGTCCATACTGTCATATATTCCAGTTCAAAGCAGATAATATGGAATTTTCTGCCTTGATATTCTGGGATATAGGGCTGTCTGGAAGGGCCCAAAGCCATATAACCTATAATTTGAAGGCAAAAAATCCCACAATATCTGCTTTGAACTAGGTTATCTGAGTCCATACTTCCATATATTCCAGTTCAAAGCAGATATTGTGGGATTTTCTGCCCTGATTGTTGTTGTTGTTCATTCGTTCAGTCGTCTCCGACTCTTCGTGACCTCATGGACCAGCCCACGCCAGAGCTCCCTGTCGGCCGTCACCACCCCCAGCTCCTTCAAGGTCAGTCCGGTCACTTCAAGGATGCCATCCATCCATCTTGCCCTTGGTCGGCCCCTCTTCCTTTTGCCTTCCACTTTCCCCAGCATAATTGTCTTCTCTAGGCTTTGCTGTCTCCTCATGATGTGGCCAAAGTACTTCAACTTTGTCTCTAGTATCCTTCCCTCCAATGAGCAGTCGGGCTTTATTTCCTGGAGGATGGACTGGTTGGATCTTCTCGCAGTCCAAGGCACTCTCAGAACTTTCCTCCAACACCACAGCTCAAAAGCATCGATCTTCCTTCGCTCAGCCTTCCCTAACGTCCAGCTCTCACATCCGTAGGTTACTACAGGGAATACCATGGCTTTGACTAGGCGGATCTTTGTTGCCAGTCTGATGTCTCTACTCTTTACTATTTTATCGAGATTGGACATTGCTCTCCTCCCAAGAAGTAAGCATCTTCTGATTTCCTGGCCACAGTCTGCATCTGCAGTAATCTTTGCACCTAGAAATACAAAGTCTGTCACGGCCTCCACGTTTTCTCCCTCTATTTCCCAGTTGTCAATCATTCTTGTTGCCATAATCTTGGTTTTTTTTGTTGTTTAGCTGCAACCCAGCTTTTGCGCTTTCCTCTTTCACCTTGATTAGAAGGCTCCTCAGCTCCTCCTCGCTTTCGGCCATCAGAGTGGTGTCATCTGCATATCTGAGGTTGTTAATGTTTCTTCCAGCAATTTTCACCCCAGCTTTGCATTCATCAAGCCCCGCACATCGCATGATGTGTTCTGCATACACGTTAAAAAGGTTGGGTGAGAGTTCAAGCATGCATGGAAATGTAGAGGTTTACTCTCGATATTAAGTCTAAATGTATCTGACTCTGGGGAGTGGTGCTCATCTCCATTTCCAAGCTGAAGAGCCAGTATTGTCCATAGACATCTCCTAGGTTATGTGGCCGCATGACTGCATGAAGCGCTGTTACCTTCCCGCTGGAGTTGTACCTATTGATCTACTCACATTTGCATGTTTTCAAACTGCTAGGTTGGCAGAAGCTAGGGCTGACAGCGGAAGCTCACACCGCTCCCCGGAATCGAACCTGCGACCTTTCGATCAACAAGCTCAGCAGCTCAGTGCTTTAACCCACTGCGCCACCAGGGGCTCCACGTACTGTCCTGATATTTTGGGATATAGGGCTGTGTGGAAAGGCCCAAAGTCATAAAACCTAGAATTTTAAGGCAAAAAATCCCACAATATCTGCTTTGAACTAGGTTATCTGAGTCCATACTGCCATATATTCCAGTTCAAAGCAGATAATGTGGAATTTTATTCAGTTGTGTGGAAGGGCCCTCAGAAGCGGGAACGCTCCCCGTAAAAAGACCAAACCACTTCGCGCATGCGCCAATAAAGACACCGCTTAGTTGGGGCTGGGCGAGCGCGGGGAAGTGGAATAGGGCGGGCGGGGCCACGACGACGCGAGTCCAAGGATCAACGTGCTCCGCGCGCCGCCGAGCGCGGCTCTTAATTGGGCAGTCGTCACGTGACGCCGAGCGGAGGAAGGAGAGGAAGGCGAAGGAGGAGGAGGTGTGTGTGTGTGGAGGGGGGGAAGAGAGCGCGAGAGAGCGCGGTGCGCAGGCGCAGAGCGGCCCGGGCCGCGGCGGCCGCTCCCTGGTTGGCAGTGCTCGCTAAGATGGCGGATTTCCTGCCATCGCGGTCCTCGCTGTCGGTGTGCTTCCCGAGCTGCCTGCTGAACAGCAGCGAGGCCGAACAGCAGCGCAAGTCCAAAGAGATCGACAAGTGCCTCTACCGCGAGAAGACCTACGTCAAGCGGCTGGTCAAGATCCTGCTGCTGGGCGCCGGCGAGAGCGGCAAGAGCACCTTCCTCAAGCAGATGCGCATCATCCACGGAGAGGACTGGGACCGCTCCGCGCGCGAGGACTTCCGCGCCACCATCTACAGCAACGTCCTCAAGGGTGAGGGGGGCCTTCCTGGGGAGAAGGAGAGGGAGGGAGGGAAGGCCGCAGGCGGAGGCTGAAGGAGCAAGCTAGGCCTCAGGCGCAGGGAGGCGCTCAGGAGGAGGCCCAGGCCTCTCCTCCTCCTCCTTCGAGAAGGCCAAGCAGGTGGGAGGAGGAGCAGGAAAGACCTCCTGAGGCGTCAAGGGGAAGTGGCGCCAGGAATCATAATAATAATCATCTATATATAAACAAAAATATAATGTTCGTTTTGTGGGATTAACAGAACTCAGAAACCAGTGGCCGAATTGACACCACATTTGGACAGCATACACCTAACAACCCAATGTATGTCCTTCACTCAAAAAAATGATTTTGTCATTTGGGAGTTGTAGTTCTTGGGATTTATAGTTCAACTACAATCACAGAGCATTCTGAACTCCACCTATGATGGAATTGAACCTAAGGTGACACACAGGACTCCCATGCCCAACAGAAAACACTAGAAGGGTTTAGTGGGCATTGACCTTGAGTTTGGAAGTTGTAGTTCACCTACATCCAGAGAGCACTGTGGACTCAAACAATGATGGATCTGGACCAAACTTGGCACAAATATTCCATATGCCCAACTAATGAACACAGATGGGTTTTGGGGGAAATAGACCTCGACATTTGGGAGTTGTAGTTACAGAGATTTATAGTTCAACTACAATCAAAGAGCATTCTGAACTTCACCAGTGATGGAATTGAACCAAACTTGGCACACAGGACTCCCATGACCAACAGAAAACACTAGAAGGGTTTGGTGGGCATTGACCTTGAGTTTTGGAGTTGTAGTTCACTTACATCCCGAGAACACTGTGGACTCAAACAATGATGGATCTGGACCAAACTTGGCACAAATATTCCATATGCCCAAATAATAACACAGATGGAGTGTGGGGGAAATAGACCTCGACATTTGGGAGTTGTAGTTACTGGGATTTATAGAAATCAGGATGATTTCTCATGTTCCTGATTTACAATATTCTGTACAGACAGTGCTTGCATTGACTGTCACTATCCAAGGTTCTTGATCAGGCACTCTGATTGAACTACTTACTGTAATCTCTATAAATAAAAATTTAATGTTCGTTTGTGGGATTAACAGAACTCAGAAACCACTGGACGAATTGCCACAAAATTTGGACACAAGACACCTGACAACCCAATGTATGTCCTTCACTAAAAAAAATGGATTTTTTCATTTGGGAGTTGTAGTTGCAGGGATTTATAGTTCACCTACAATCAAAGAGCATTCTGAACCCCACAAATGACAGAATTGGGGCAAACTTCCCACACAGAACCCCCATGACCAACAGAAAATACTTTGGGCTATCCAGTCCAACTCTCTTCACCAGGGCACGAAAATCTAATCAAAGCCCTCCTGACAAAGAGCCATCCAGTCATAGAAAGAGATAGATCTATATGATTCACACACACAGAGATATAAAATCATAGATTTGAGAGGGGCCCTTAAAGAAGGACAACGATTTTATTTATTTATTTACTTACTTACTTCATTTATATACTGCTTTTCTCAGCCCTTAGGCGACTCAAAGCGGTTAACAACAGCTATTTCAACTATATGTTGCATGTTCCAGAGTAGGCAAACCAGACACTCCACATCACCACTGACAAAGAAACCACAAGAAATACTGTTTACCCACAAGCAGAAAGAAATTGCATAGATTAGAAACCATTACTTTATTTTCCAGATCACCAGACTGGGCCACAGCAACGTGTGGCAGGGGACAGCTAGTAATAATAATAATAATTTTGTTTCTTACCCGCCTCCTCATGGCTTGAGGTGAGCTACCAAACCATTAAAATACACAAACACTGCAAAAATACTACAAATACACACGCACTAAAACGTACCTCCATAAAAGTTACATACCAAAACTTATCTCTAGGAAATAGAAGCAGGAAAATTGCATTCAAAGCATCCCCGACAGATCGCCATCCAGCCATGTTTTAAAGCTTCCAAAGAAGGAGCCTCCACCACACTCCAAGGCAGAGAGTTCCACTGCTGAACAGCTCTCACAGTCAGGAAGTTCTTCCTAAATACACATTTAAATACATATTAAAACAGACAAAACAGAGATCAAAATGTATCTTTGTATTTAAAGACTGTCTGGATGGGCCTGCAGGAAGAGACAGGTCTTCACTTGTGTTTTAAATTCCGACAGCTGATTGAACTGTCAGAGTTCTACCTGCAGGTCACTCCACAGCCTTGGGGTGGGCGATGGAAAGGTCCTCTGGGTGATGGTTACCAGTCGGGTGATGGTTACCAGTCGGGTTCTGGCTGGTTGGAGCAGGCGCCCTGCAGAAGGTACAACTTCCAGGATTCCCTTCCACTACTTTGAATGCAGTTTGAACTGACGTAGCTGCATGCTGTGGAACACTGGAAGTTTTGTAGCTTTTAGCTCTCTGTGCCAGTGGTTCTCAACCTGTGGGTCCGCAAATGTTTTGGTCTTCAACTTCCAGAAATCCCAACAGCTGGTAAAGTGGCTGGGATTTCTGGGAATTGTAGGTCAAAACATCTGGAGACCCAGAGATTGAGAACCACTATTCTATGCCATCAACACTTAATGCACTTTGACCCTGCTTGAATTGACACGGCTCCATGCTATGGAAACTTGAAAATTGTAGCTTTCAAAGGTTTTCTTAGCCTATGGTTAGTGCACTTTGGCACCACTTGAAGTGCCATGGCTCAGTGCTGCAGAATCATGGAGCCATAGCAGTTCACTAGCACTCTTTTCTGCCAAAGAGTTTTGGGAGCCTCACCTGTATCCCAGGGAAAGGGATCCTTGACTTTTTTAAAGCTGAAAGGCCAGTTCACTATCCCACAAAACTTTAGTTTGAAAAAATATAAATGACTTCCGATGCACACTGCACATATTCTTTTTGTAGTGCAAAAACAAACAAATAAATATAAATAAAAAACTTCTATTATTAACATATTATACCCCACTTTATCTCCCCAAAAGGGACTCGAAGCAGCTTGACATGAAAGCATTAGTATATAATTTAAAATATACAAAAATGCAAGCATTAAAATAGAATTAAACGCATACAGCACTAAAGCAATTCACAATTAAAAACCATCAAAACAGTTAAAAACCACAGCACCCCCTGAATTGGTCTTAAACACCTTCATCTTTAAAAGCCTGTCTGAATACAAAAGGTTTTGGCCTGCTGCCGGAAGGACAGCAGGGAGGCGGCCATTCTGGCCTCCCTGGGCAGGGAGTTCCAGAATCATGGAGCAGCCACTGAGAAGGCCCTCTTTCTTGTTCCCATAAACCAAGCTTGAGATGGAGGTGGGACTGAGAGAAGGGCTGCTCCTGAAGATCTCATGGCCCGTGCAGGTTTGTGCAGGGGAATGCAGTCAGCCAAATAGCCTGGACCTGAACCGTCTATGGCTTTCAAGGTCATAACCAGCACTTTGAATTGTGCCTGGCAACAGTCTGGCAGCCAGTGGAGCTGCTCTAATAGGAGGGTTGTCCGCTTCCTGTAGCCAGCCACAGTGAGCAACCTGGCTGCAGATCTTTGGACCAGCTGAAGTTTCTGAGCACTCTTCAGAAGCAGCTTCATGTAGAGGGTATTACAGTAATCCAGACAGGATGTAACTAAGGCATGTGCCACTGTGGACAAATCTGGCTTCTCAAGGAATGGGTGCAGTTGGTGCACAAATTAATTGTACAGTTTTCAGCAATATAAACTTACTAGTATTTCAATGAGATGTGGGCCTGCTTTTGGCTGATGAGAAAGTTGAGTCAATGAGGATTGTTGTTGTCTGCCTTCAAGTTTAGGGCGGGGGCCAGGCAGATGGCTTTGGAGGGCCGCTTCTGGAGCACGGGCCTTAGTTTGGGGACTCCTGGTGTATACCGTTGAGCCATGGCAGTTCAAGTGGTGTCAGTCTGCATTCCTTCTACCTACCGACATCTCTTCCGTTTACAGTTCATACGGTTTGATGTCACCAATTGTACTGCCATGGCTCAATGCGATGGAATCCTGGGATCTGTCATTTCACAAAGCCTTCTAATCCAAAGAGTGGCGGTGCCTAACCAAACCACCGTTCTCAGGATCCCATAGCATTGAACCATGGCACTTAAAAGTAGGTCAAACTGCATGCATTATGAAGGGTAAAAGCAGGCAGATGAAGGGTGGAAGTCTCATTGGCGTGGATAGAAATTTAGTGTATTGGCAGTTCCCTCACTAGTGATGCTTGACATTTATCCCACCCTTGCTGATCAAACCAGAAACATCCTGGGGTGCATCAGTCCTGCAGAATGAATGCAGTTTGACTACACCTTAGCTTCCATGGCTCAGTGCTATGGAATCAGGGGGTAGTAATTTGACAAAATTATCTGCCAAAGAGAGCAAATGCCTCATGAAACTACAGCTCATAGGATCCCATAGCACTGAGCCTTGTCCTAATTCTGCAATGTAGGTGCACCTTTTGTTCCTTCAAGAGTCCTGTCTCCTTTCCCCTTCTGTGGCAGTGAGGAGGCTGGAGGAAGGCTTGGGCATTCAGAAGTTGCATCCACACTGTTTGATACCACTTTAACTCATGGCTCAGTGCTATGGAAACCCAGGACTTTTACTTGGGTGAGGCAGTAGCAGTCTTTGGCAGGGAGGGCAAAAGTGCTTGTAAAAATACAACTCACATGATCCCATAGCATTGAGCTTTGGCTTATAAAGTATGGAAGAACTGCATAACTCTAGATGTACACAAAGTGTTAGTTTTGTGGACATAAGTGTTTCTTTTATGCATGTTTGGGAAGTGGGTGTTAGCCCCTGGAGGTGTACTGGAGGGTTAGTGCAACCATTATTTACAATGTTGAACACTGTAGTTTGTATACAGGTTGAGTCTTCCTTATCTAAAATGTTTAGGACCACACGTTTTGGGGATTTGGGGGGAGTTTGGAATACCTGTATTTGGATATATGTATATAACAAGCCACCTTGTACATGGGACCAAAGTCTAACTGCAAAATGTATGTATCCTTCATAAACAGTATATCCCCAAAGCCCGAAAGGAATTTTATTCTTTTATAAAAAAAATAATTTGGACAATTCTGAATTTGGGGGTATTTTGAAATTATGGATAAGGAATGCGAAACCTGTATGCAGTAGTCTTAGCAGTAACGTACTGGGTTGTGTTGTGGGATCATCTGGGAAAGCCGTGGAGTGCAGAAGGAGAAGAAAATGCATAAGTTTATGAAGGGTGGTTCTGTGATAAGAAAAAAAGTATGTGGGGCTACAAGGAACTAAGTTGAGGAGGCTGGCAGTGCATTGGAGGGAAGATTGGAAATCTCAACACTGAGGTTTGATCCTAGAGTTTGTACTTCATGCTTTGAAAATTTGTTAAAGCATGACTGTTAGTGGCTCATTGTTTAGGTGAAGGGGGGTGAACTTATTGTAGAGCCTATAACAGAGTGGAACTGTTTCTATTTTAGTCCAGGGGCGCACCTACATGTCAAATGAATGTAGTTTGTCACCACTTTAACTGCTATGGCCAAATGCTATGGAATCCTGGGAGTTGTCCTTTGGTGGGGCACCAGCAGTCTTTGGTAGAGAAGGCTGAAGACCCTCTAGAACTACATCTCTCATAACATTAAGCCGCAGCAGTTAAAGTAGTGTCAAACAGCATATTTCTACAGTGTAGATGTAACCCAGGCAGAAATTGCAAAGGTGTGTCCTGATAACCAGGGACAACTGAAGATTAAAGAACTGTAAGAATATATTGGGCGTGTTATACATTTTTAGTGGTCTGGAAATATACCGAGTCCTTTCTCAATTAATATTCCTATACCTTGTTTAGTGTGCTTTTGGGCCATCTTTTGACAAGGAAACAAGCATTCTAAATGGCTCTGTGATAGACACTTCTGTGGTTAACATTCAGCCTCCCTCCCCCCTCTCATACATACACACCTTAAAAATACTTGAGTTTGGCTTGAGTTCCAACTAGTGACATATTATGGTACAGTCTTAGATTACAGTTTAAACCTGTTCAATCTTGTTTTCCGTTCTCATTTCTTTACAACATGCTCTGTTTTTGTACCTGTTCTGGCAAGTAAATTTGTGTGAGTTGTAACTGTCCTGTGTCAAGTAATAAATACAGAATGTAGTTTTATAATTAATGGTCTATTATAGATTTATAATTAATGGGATATTCAAGTTGAAAATGTATCTTGAACATCTAAAGCATTACGTATACCTAAAGGCACCAGATCCTGTCTTAGCTTGGAAGGTAAGCAGGATCAGCCCTGGTTAGTACCTGGATGGGAGATTGCCAGTGAATACCACGCACTGCATGCTATATTTCAAGGAAAGGAACTGGCAGAATCCCCCATGAGTATTTTTTGCCTAAGAACACCCAATTTGTGTAGTCACCCTAAGTCAACAGGCAACTTGAAGGCACATTCACTCAAACATGCATCATATATTTCTGTGGTAAGAAGAGGTTTGTTCTCCATTTCCCAGGCAGCCAAACTTGTGAAATCCCCTTGTCATCTATAAATATTCAAATATCATGAGATGGCATGCTGAATATGAAGTTTAGGTTTTTTTCTTTTTCTGGTTTCTGAGTCTATTGTCATGTTCAGTTTATAGAAAACTATTCATGGTAATGACATATTAAGATTTGTTTTGCAAAGAAAGAGCAGTCATCTGGGCTGCTCTTTCAAATTGATACAGTTATAGTATACCTTTTAAAAACATGTTTATATATTTTCCAAATGGCAATTCCGTCATGCTGTTTTACAAGTTTTAAACCTAAAATTGTCACAACCACACATTTTATGTTAAGAACAAATAAGTTCAGACGTTACGAGAGTAGCATCATTTTAAAATATTCAGACTCCAAATTAATAAACGTAACTGATAAAGCAAATTGGTCAAGCTTAATTTTCTATATGTGGCAAAATGTAAGCCTTAGATCCAGATTTAGGGCTATTTGAGTAGACTAAGATAAATCCTATTGGTTTAATGACTAAATCTCCATCTCATGTAAAATGTTACATATCTTAATTTTGTAACTAATTTTTATAATCCAATACAGTTTGAGCAAAAACGTAGAAAGGATGCACGGTGAACTGACCTCTTTCTATTATTATTGATTTGTTTTAACTGTTGCCAAATATGACTTTCATGTTAACTGTTCCAAAAGAGTTGTAATTTTAAATATTAATACCCTGTTCTGACATCTGCATTAAGCATATTTAGAATAGATGTTCTCCAAGTCAAAACCATTGCATATCTAGTAGAAAGTAGTGAGGGCTATTAATTAAGCTCATCTTTACATGCGATTAATCTGGTATGGGGACCAGATAATGGGACAGAGCTCAGTTAGTACCACGGGGCTGTCCAGTTGAAATTTGGCTGGCTCCATCTATAACATTATTCTTATAGAACAGTCAAGGACAAACTTTTTTGCCCTGGGGCCATCTTGAGGGCCGACTGCAAGGGCTGGGTCAGGAGGAAGTGTTAGTGGGGCCATAAGAGGCAGGGTCGTGGACCAGAAGAGGTGGAGCCAGAGTTGAAAGGGGCAGGGCAGAAGGGTGGGGCTGGGGCCTCTATAGGAGCAGGTCTGTCTCCAGGGACAATGGCCTGTCTTCCTCAGGCCCAGAAGAGGGAGACAAACATGCCACCGCCAAGCGGCAGCGGTGTGTTTTTCTCCTCAACTCTTCTTTGAGTCCTGGGAACGCAGCGGCCCTTCTTCCTAAGGCCCAGAGAAGGGAGACACACACACCACTGCTGAGTGCTGTCCAAGGAGCGCTTGGAGGAGGCGTGTTTCTGCCTCCACCCTCCTCTCAGCCTAGGAGTGCGGCTGGTCATTGCATCTGCATACTGAAAGGGAGGCCGAAGCAGACGGCAGCCGGGGTGAAGAGCCCAAAGGGCCACATCCGGCCAGCGGGCCTGGGTTTCCCCACGCCTGTTGTAGAGTGATAAGGAAGGGGTTAATTTCTGTCCGTTATCAGTTTAGGTTAAAATTGCACTTTTCCTCACATTTACTAACTGTCACAGTTTTGCATCTGATCATTAAGTTTGTCACTTTTTGCTTTTTAAGATAAACCTTTACTCTAAAACACCGTTATGGCTTTCTCCAATAGAGGCTAACCAAAGGAGACGTCTGGGCTGGTCAAAATGGCCAATTTACAAGGATCTCTTGAAAAAAGACTTAATGACATTGAAATCTCATGAAGAATTTAAACAAAATTTTACTAATATTACATGGTTGCATTACTTACAGATCAAAGAATACTATAATCAGGATAAGAAATTAGGTTTCAACAAAAAGAAAGAATTCTGGGACAAAATTTTAAAAATGGAAAAAAGTGTATAACAAAAATATATGATAAATTACTAGAGTGGTCCACAAAGGGAGAGGTAATTAAAAATTGGGCTGAGAATTTTAAAAAATCGATATCGCTAGCAGATTGGGAACGAATGTGGAACAAAAAATAAACTATACATATGCTGCTGACTTAAAGGAAAATTGGCTTAAAATGTTCCACTGGTGGTACATTACACCAAAAAAAAAATAAATCTAATGTATAAAAATACGTCTAAGAACTGTTGGAAGTGTAATGATCACGAAGTTTCTACGACTTGTGATGGACTTGTAGGGAAGCTCAGAATTACTGGAGATTAATTCATGAAAAGTGCCAACATTTTTTAAAAAATACCCAAAAAAACCTTGAGTACTATTTATTAGAAATAACTGATGCAGACATAAACTAGATTCCAACGAAGACATCCTCTTTATGTTTATGATGACAGCCGCAAGGATTATTTACGCAAAACTCTGGAAGCAGAAGGAAACACTGGATTTAGATCAGGGGTTGTTCAAAATAAATGAAATAAAAGACATGGATAAACTAAACTTTCTATTAAAGAGAAACTCGGGTAATCTAATAAAACAAACAAACTGGTTACAGTTGGAGGAATACGAAGAAAAGAGAAAAAGGAAAAACTATTAGAGTAATATACCAAGAATGGATATAATTGAAGTCTCCTTTTTTACATATATATATAGTTAGTTACATATGTATTAATCTACCTTTTCTTCTTTTACTAACTATTATTGTGAAGATCATGGATGGAACAAATCTTAAACCGCAAAGTATTAAATGGAAGTCACCATGTTAATTTTATTTTTATTCTTCATTTTTCATTTTTTTAAATCTTTTTTCATTTTCTTTTTCCTTTTTGTCTTTTTTGTTTTTGTTTTTAATTCGATCGCCCTAGTTTGTACCCCCTTCCCCCTTCTTCTCTTTTATTCTTCCTACTTTCTCTTAACAAACTTTACTTGGAATATTGAACATTCTTTCCCTCTTATTTAAATAAAATAAAAATTTATGACAAAAAGATAAATTGATTATTTAGCCTAAAATAAGTCAAATATCCCTTATCCCAATTGCTTTGGATTTTGGATTTGTATACAATGTACTGAGATATCTTGTAGATATCTTAGCACAAAATTATTTTATGCTTCTTGTGTACCTTATACACATAACCTGAAGGTCATTTTATACAATATCTTTATTAACAAAGTTTGTGCACATTAAAGGATTTCAAAGCAAAGACGTCACTATCTCAACTAATTCTGTGGACAATTTTGGAATATTTGGGATATCTGGATAAGGGATGTCCAACCTATATAATTACCAGAAGTATTTGAAAACTAATACATGCTTTTCATTTTGTTTAAGGTGTAAGAGTTCTCGTAGATGCCCGAGAGAAGCTTCATATTCCCTGGGGAAATCCTGCTAATCAAACCAATGGTGACAAGTTGATGGCCTTCGATACCCGCTCAGGAGTAGCAGTGCAAGGGATGGTGGAGACCCAGGTTTTTTTACAGTACCTTCCAGCAATAAGATCTTTGTGGGCAGATAGTGGGATCCAGCATGCCTATGACAGACGCAGAGAATTCCAGTTGGTAAGAAGACCTCTTAATATTCCTTTTCCTGTTGAACCATATGCTTCAAAATACTTCTGCAAGTGAAATAGTTATAAATGTGGAGCTTGTTTCCAAAAGTTACCAAATCCATCTGAATAAATTTTACAAAAGTGGAAAAACCTGCTGAGGATATGCATCCTTTTGCTATAAAATGCAATTTTCCAAGCCCTGTACCAAAGTGATTTGATATACTTTGATAATTTTGATATGTACATAATATTCTATTCCTAGTCACCCGTGTGGTGCCACCTATAACTCATTTTTCATTTTTGTTTTTCCTTTTTCTTTTGGATTTGGTACCTTTTGGAAACAATTTCCACAATTGTATTACCAACCTGAAAATGTATGTTAAAACTACTTGAAACAGTCTGTCCAATTTTAGTTCATGTATGTTATTTATTATTTACAATTTATATACTGCCTGCCTCTTAAAAGGTTCTTAGTAGCATACATAGTTGTGCTTCTCATTACATTACTTTCACAGCAGAACTACTGGCCCAAGGTTATGAAGTGAATTTCATGGATCAAGTCTTGGTCCGGTATACTATCCTGTGACCTTAAGAAGCATGTGTAACATTATCCATAAGAAAGTCACTGAAGCAAGCTATATAGAATTAACAATGCATCCTTATCTAGGAAAAAGAAAAGCTCCCTACTAGTATGATTTCCATTTGGCAAATGGATAACTGAGGCACAAAGATGTTAATTTCCAGGTAGTCAGAACTGTGTTAGAACTTCTAATTTAAACCTGATGTCTTCATTGAAACTCCCTACCCACTGAAATCTTTGCTTATTGCTTTGAAAAAAAATTCATAATACTTAATGTGTCATACGCACCATAGATTTCTTATTAATTGCAGATTAAGTTTACGAAATGAATTTAAGAAACAATGAAATGAAGGGGCTATAATCCATATCTAGATGTGAATTAAATGTTCTCTCTCTCAAAGTTGCAAGGCAACCATAATGTGTTGTGATTTGCTCCTATGAATAATTTTGCCATCCTAAGATTTCATTGGAGGGTAGAAATGTTATGTGCATATGAATGTCTTTCTGTTTACACAGGGCACCACTGAATCCAAACCATTCCCAACTGCTTGTAGTGTTAAATACCAATAATTCCCTTAATTGTTTTTTGTTAAAGCAAAGGATAAAGAAAGTATGTATATGTGTTCTTTAAAATGTATTCATATCTGTTGCCAGGCCAGATATATGCAAGTATGGAAAAAGAATGAATTAAGTAATATCTGGTATAGGCTTTTAGAAATGTGTGTGGGGGGAAGTTGACAGGCAGTTTCACTTCTGTTTGTACTCTTCAGTGTTTCCTGGATATTGAATGCTGGGCCTAAGCAGAGCTTTCTCCGTGTCATATGTAGATACAAAGAAATGGAGTCGAGACTATTTCTGTGGGCAGGTTTCTGCAAATTGGATACCCTCTAATTTGTATATGCAAATACGGTGCTTTTACCACCTTGGTGTGGTGTAGTGACAAATTCAATGTTTCAGCATCAAACAGGAGCTGATTATACACTGAAACTCCTACTCATTTTTAAGGTTAAGATGGCTAGTCACTTCTCATTTTATATTTTTGTGGAAGATGATTGCCTTGCTTCCTCTTATACTTCTGATGTGGGTGCTCAAATATAGCAAAAAAAATTCATTTTAAAATTTTGCTTAGTTGCAATTTTTTGTTAATGTATTTGATCTAGATGTGAGAAATAAGAGGCTTTGGCTATATTTCTACTGCCAAACTTGGGTGGTATTTTTCATATTCAATTTAAGTTGTTTTCTGTGCTGGTCTAGAATTTAGAAAGCTACTTAACGCCAGTTTGGAAAATGTTGATTTCCAGAACAGTGTAAATTATGCTCTGTAAAGGCAAAGAGTCTTTCTGTATATGTTGTAAAAATCCATTTGATTAATTTGCATGTGGACACTGATTCCTTCAAAGACAATTGATAATAAATCTGTTTTATTATAATGTGGTTCCCATGTATACTGCAGCATAACCTTTCTTAGATACGAGTCCATTTTGTTGGATTTTGTTGTTTAATTGTGTTCTAGTCCACAAAAACCCTTGCTTCAATTTTGAATTTTCTTCAAGATGCTGCAGAATGTCTTTGTTTTTGCTATAACTAACTAACATGGCTAGCCATTTTGATGTCATATAGTATATATCTAGCAGTGTGTATATATATCTCACTTTGTTCATGTTTTGTGCCATCGGGGCATTTCTTATCTATGGAAACTCTTAAGGCAGTCCTATCATGGAGTTTATTCAGAGTAGATTTGCCTTGGTTTTCTTAGGCTGAGAGAGTGCAAATTGTAAAAGGTCACCAAGTGGGTTTCTGTGGCTAAGCAGAAATTAAATTCCTGATAACATTCTGGATCTGAAACCACTATAGCACACTGATTCACTTATATTTAACTTAACAGATTTGTTATACAACCTCTGTATGCTCTGTTCATCTGCCTAACTGTATTGTAATGTGAACGATTGTGGGGTAGGAGAGATTTTTGAGGTTGTTGTATACATATGTGGTAATTTTAATCTTATATAGTACTATATATTTAGAATGGATCAAAAGAATCAGATAACTCTGAGGATATGGAATAGACTGAACCATGTGTTACACAGGCAGTGCAATCAGTAAGAGATTAGCCCAACCCACACATGTACAATGTTTTATAAATAGTATTATGCCTTGCAGTCCATTGGTTGCATCTAATCTCCCTCTTACCGTTTTGTTGTATTAGGAGGAGACCATTCATTGTTTTCATTGTTTAACATGTCCTAAATATAGTAGTTCCTCAGTGATTTTTACAGTTTCTGTTACAGCCTAAAAGACAGTTTGAAAGAGGGATTACAGGGCAGATTTAAGCAACGTAAAGTGAAATTATGCATGTGATTGCCATATGCAGCACTTTTTCCTCTTGAGTATATTTGTAAATAAGTACCTATCCCGTAGTGTGTGCACATACAAAAAGTAGGAAAACTATCTACTATCTGTCAACAATCAGATAACTTATTAGTAAAATACCAGTTTTGATTTGTCCCATTTCAAGTTAGAGCATTTAATTTATTAAATGGGGGGCATGAAGTTATGCCTGTACACTAGATGATCAGGGCTTGGGATCCATAGCCAAAATACACTGGTATTACTCATCTGCATGGGCCATTGGCCTTACTGTAAAAACACAGCAGTCACTTTATACTTGGAATTATGAGGAAACATCACTGGTAGGAGAATATACATATTTTCTATTGTGCTTTAAAATCTGTAAGAAATGTCCCTTTACGTCCATGTTACTTAGACTAAGGCTGCATCTACACTGTAATGAATGCAGTTTGACACCACTTTAACTGCTGTGGCTCAATGCTGTGGAGTCATGGGAATTGTCTTTTTATAAGGTTTTTAGCTATCTCTGCCAAAATCGTGCTGCTGCCTCACTGAACTGCAGGTTCCATGATTACATAGCATTGAGACATGGCGGTTGAAATGGTGTCAAACTGCATTCATTCTCCAGTGTGTAGATACACACTTACTCTTTGATGTAATTAGATGCTTCCCTCTTCCCATGTCTTCAGTGACATTTATAAGAGGCTAAGTAACTAGTGCAGTTAATAGTTGTTATGAAAACCTGATCTCTCTTCTGTGCGAAAGATAATTTCTTGTGATTTATTATGGCTCATCCTAACTTCTTGCCTGAACCTGTCTCATATTATGGAAAAATTATGGCACAAATTGGACATGCACACGTCACCTAGTATGTGTGAGAGACATACATCAGACTGGTGCAGGACTATTAGCCTGCAGGATTTGTATAAGCCTAGTGACCAAGGCAACAGGTTTCTCATGGCATCATCACTCAAATGGGTTGTGGAGTACGTTGATTTGGCCTACACTTCACTTGACAAATCCATTTATTAAGGCCTTTGGTGCTCTCAACTAACGAGGACATCATTTTAACTACTATACAGTCAAATTGAAATGATTTTTTTCACATAGTGTTTGATCCATGTTGCTCATGGGCTTGATGGTTGACTCCTGTCTTAATAAAAAATAGTTTTGGAAAGGCTAATGTAACATGTATTCTCCTTGTTGGAAAAATAGAAGTAAAATCAACATCAAAAATATGATTGCAGTCCTTTTATTAGAACAGAGAATGAGAAATGCTATAAAATCAAACTTATGCATGTCTTCTTTAAAAAGATGAAAAAAAATCAATGTTTTTCAGAAATTTAGACCACATGCACCCTTTCTTACTTTTAATTTCAATGAGTTTAGCTTGAATCAATATACAGAGCATTAAACTATAGTTTTCCAATAAGGGGATGAGGTCTCCTTGTCTTGCGTATTCCATTTACCAGTAATTAGTTATTTAATAATTGTGACAAACACATTGGCAAATGCTTTTGATTCACTTCAGACTGGAATTGTAAACCAGGACTCATTGAAATTTGTACAGTCAGAAGAAGATGCCCTGCAGCCATTTGTGCAGGCCAAACCTATATCTGGTGGATTTCCTGATGTTCCAGAGCTGCCTTTTGGGGTACATGGAGGACTGACATAGGGAGCCCTTTCCCCTACATTCTGCTGTGCTCAACGTTACATATTGTCCACAGTCCAAATCAGAATATTTTATTTTCAGTGACATGCCTAACAGTGAACAATTGAAAAGTAATATATGTCCATTGACATTTCATATATGAGAGCAGCCATGGTGTACTTTGGGGGATAAGGCTCACACTTGTGTTTTTAGATTCCCTTTCCACTTTGCTGTTCAGATAAACTGTCATTTGAAGAAATCAAGTAGTAGGGGAAGGAATCAGAATACACAGGAGGAAAGGGAATTTCTCAAAACTCAAGGTACACTTCACCAACCAAGCCATGACTTGGCTATTACATGTCACACCATGGTATTAGGACACTTTTAAAATCCATTAGTTAACATTCAATACTGTATACAGACAGTTCTC